GCGTCACGACCGATCGCACAACAGCTGCCCGCCTCTCAAACGGCGCCGCGGCCGCAAGTGCAGCCAACTCCGTCAGTTTTCGCGGAAAACAAGGACGACCCATTCGCGCAAATCGCCAACATCTGCAGCCTTTTAGATAGGAAAGCATCTCTTTAGCTTATCCGATAACCTAAACTTTAGCATAGTCGCTCCCGCGACTCCCACTAGGTATCCTACGGTGGACAACTACCAACACGCGTCACCGAGTGTCCTAGACATCATGTTATTCAGGGAGGTCTCGCTCGACATCGAGTCGATAGAGACAATCCATGAACTAGACTCAGACCACAGGCCCGTCCTGTGTAAACTGGGCCAGAACGCCGGCGCGGTCCCTCCGACCAAATCCGTAGTGGACTGGCATCGTCTTGAGGTCAAACTCAAGGCCTTGGACCCCCAGGACTTAGTAGACTTACCCGAGACGATAGCTACGTTCGATGACGCAAATCGAGCGATAGCGAGTCTCCGAGAAACTATTACTTCCGCAGTCACAGACTCGGAACGGACGGTGAAACTGTCGGGCGACCGACGGTTTAACTTTCCGCCCGACCTAAGACTGCTAATTAGACAGAAAAATGCAGCCAAACCGAACCCTACTTCGACGCCTTCAGCTAGAAGTCAAAGATCGTGTATCGGAACACCGACACACAACGTGGGACACTCTCCTAGAAAACATCGAGCCATCGCACACCGCCTACTGGCGGTTGGCCCGCAGTCTGAAAGCAGACCCCCGCGAATCTCTACCGCCGTTACTTAGACCTAATAGCGCTTCAGTAGCCCTAGATGACTCCGAAAAAGCCGAATGCCTTGCGGACAACCTAGAGCAGCAATGTACGCCATCGCGCGAACACACCGATTCAGTCCACCTAACGGAGGTGGACCACGTAATCTAGACTAGGGCTGCGCTTCCACCGGAAGGCGAACCTTTAAATTCAGTGACCCCCGAAGAGGTCCAAGATATTATTAAAAATTTAAAACCAAAATCCGCCCCGGGCCCAGATAATATAAGTAATAAAATTCTCAAAGCTCTCCCTGGGCCGCTTATCTGTTTACTGGCGACCATTTTCAATACTCTTCTCTCCAGTTGCTCCTTTCCGGACGACTGGAAGCAAGCCACGGTTATCGGCATTCGCAAGCCTAATAAACCAGCTAATCAGCCCTCTAGCTATCGTCCCATCAGCCTCCTCAGTTGCCTGGGGAAGCTCTACGAGCGGCTCTTGTTTAACAGGCTCAAAGAGCACGTATTTTCCAACGGCCTTCTGCAGACGGAACAATTCGGCTTTCGAGCTAGACACTCATGTCCCGACCAGTTATACCGCCTAACGAAGCACATCCTAAAAGGCCTAAACAACCCCAAACACATCAGCACAGGGGCTCTCTTCTTCGATGTCGCAAAAGCATTCGACAAAGTCTGGCACAACGGCTTGCTTTACAAGCTGTACACACTCAAGTGCCAGATAGGCTCGTACACACCTTCCGGGCCTTTTTGTTGAATCGCTCTTTTCGATATCGAGTCGAGGGCACCCTCTCCACAAGCCGCCGCCTCACGGCCGGCGTACCACAAGGGTCCTGCCTCTCACCTTTGCTCTTTACGCTCTACACGAGTGATATACCTAAAGACCCCCACGTCAATCTCGCGCTTTTCGCGGATGACACGGCGCTCTTTTATTCAGACCGCAACCTTAGACTACTAACCACTCGACTCCAAAGCGCCGCCGACCGCCTCGGCAACTGGTTCCGCAAATGGAGAATAGAAATAAATCCCGAAAAGAGTGTAGCGATTCACTTCACACGAAGTACTTACCCGTCACATCTTTATAATGGTCCTCGCGAATGCAGAAAGTTGGGGCAAATATCCCTTTATGGCCAACCGCTCCCCTAGGAGAAAAAGGTCAAATACTTAGGAGTCACTTTCGACTCGCGTTTGTCATTTATTACGCACATTAATAAGGTTCGTAATAGAGCCGCGTTCGTCTCCGGCCGGCTACACAATTTAACTAATGCTAAAAGTAAAATGCCCTTAAGGCACAAATTATTATTATATAAGACCTGCGTACGACCTATTATGTCCTACGCATGCATGATCTTCGCCCACACGCACCCTACTCGCTTGTACAAGTTGCAAATAATACAAAATAAGTTTATCCACCGCGCAACCGGTGCGCAGTGGTATCAGCGCAACGTCGACCTGCACAGCGATTGCAGACTCCCGACGATTCGAGCACATTTTAAAGATTTGACAAAACGGTTCTTCGATAGAGTCCAGCATCATCCCAACCCTCTGGTGGTAAGCGCAGCAAACTACCAACCGGACACTAACGCGAACGTAAACAAGCGTCGCCCGCGAAACGTCCTCATCGACCCGGTCGACGAAGAGGACTTAGATACGATGGACCCACCGCCGGGGGTCCCGCCGGATAACACTACACCCACAGTTAGTGTAACAACAATCACACCAGTTCGCCCTCGCCTCCGAGCACGGCGAGACCCACACAACGCGTACACAAGGTACACCCGCGTTCCGGAGCGGTTCTCACCGCTCCCAGCCACCGATTAGCTAAATGCACAGTCGACGGCCGTCGGGGTCTCGGTCCGAACCGCGACCTCGACGGCCCTTAGATGACACACCATAATTAAACGCACGCATGAGCACATGCGCGACCCTACCCATAGCGGAGGGTCCAAACCCGTGGGTTCTGGCTAGCCCACCGGTTCTGCGTCCGATGAAGCTTTAATAGTCTCGGGACTGAAAGCAAAAACATCAATTAATACAAGATACAAGAAGATACAAATGTAATTTTAACGCGTAGCTAGCTTGTTTCGGAGAGCGCGAAAGATTTGTGACAATAAAAATATGGCTGATGTATAATAAGCTTTCAGCACCACGTTAACGTCACAGAAACTTAATGACACCAGTTACAGCGGAGCGAGTTTTTCAGAGATAACAGGAATCAACTTGCTATTTTTGTATATGTAAAAGGAAGCACTGATAAAATAGGCCATAACTTGAAATGGGCTTCCATCAAGGCATTTTAGAAGCTGCTGAAGAAGATATGTTTATTAGATATTTACTAGATATGAATTATTTTATACCATATGTCTAATAAATCACATCCTCCTAAAAGAGCTAGAAGTTAAGTTAAGTGTAAAAGCTTTATTGTGATTGTGGTTTCTATTGTATCAACAATATTGTTTTTTATGTAACAAAGTGCTAAACGAGCTGGCGGTTCATCTGATGTTAAGTGGTAACCAACGCCCATGGACATTTGCAACACCCCACGTGTTACAGAAATGTTGCCACCTTTAAATAAAGCGTGCCCCGGCTACCTCACTCACCAGACGAAACGCCGAAGTGTAACACTTCTTCTTTACGCCGGTCTTCTGTGAGGTCGTAGTATTTACCCGGACGGACCTGCCCATTCGTGCAACAGTGAACACCATTGACTAACAAATAACTGACATCAAACATAACAGGACAAGACTGTGTGCAATCTGCGAAAGCATAAAGAGCTTCCAACTTTCACATCAATTTTGATAGACCACAAATAAAAGAAATGTGTTTCAGGATATTTAAATAAAAATATCAAAATTTCAATAAAGAATTTGGGTTCAGCTTGGGATCACGCTGCCGTCTTTGCCATACGCAAGATCAGGCAACTAACATACGAGGCAACAGCTAAATTAGTTTATTAGGCTTATTTTCACAGTATTCTGTCTTATTATGTCTTACTTTGGGGTTCCACATCCGGTTTAGACACGATATTTGTATTTCAAAAGCAAGCGATACGGTCTGTCTATGGCCTGGATCCACGTGAGTCCCTTCGGCATATCTTAACGCTCTCGTCGCTATTCATACTTGAGAACATCATGTATGTACGAAATAACATACACCTTTTAACAAGCTAAAACCAGGAAGTCGTTTCTTGGTAGATGAATTAACCTATATAATAGAATAGGTGACATCCATTAAGTGTAAATAATTTCACATATTTTGTAAAAGCCGCCTTAATGGAAAGGGGCTATTATAATGTCGAGGAATACATTGAGGACAAGGATGTGTAGAAATGACTCTTTCTCTGCACTTGTAAGTCCCCTGGCTCCTGCTAAATTATACTAAAATACTTTTGTGTATATACTTAAATAATTTAAAAAAAAAGAGCTTAAGCCTATGTTCAATAAAGAAATTTTGACTTTGACTTTGACTTTGATCCTCTTATATAAAACTGAATCTACACACGAGCTAATTAGTTTTATTAAAAATCTAACCCAAACATTCCACAAACTCCTATTAAATGAATTTTTAAAACCAACCAAATGAAAAAAAAATTCGTTTAAAGTCCCTAATATGAGTCAATTGTTAGACCATTTCTATTTACTTACAAGTTATCTATTTTCGTCAAAATCTTAGTGAGACTACCATTAGTTCCTATAATTTTGAATACATCTAAACTAAGTAAATTGATGAATAATAATTATATAATTACAAGAAATCATTATGAACGAATACGAGGTCTTTTTTTAATAGACTATCCAGCATTGTTCAACAATGCTTAACAGCTCATAACTAATATATTAAAATTTGTCATGACGCAATTAAATCTTATCCATTGCCTTTTGAAAGTTCAACAATTTCATTTAATAATATTTATTTAGTATAAGGGATAACAGTCAAATCTGAGTCATATAAGCTATAGAGGTCCATTATACGAGAGTTTGCAGTTTTGAGTCTGTCTCTATGCAATGGCAATCTATTAATACATACATATATCTGTCGAAATCCAGTTCAACACGGAATCTCGTTGGAGACGTACGCTACCAGCTTATGCTACGTTTGTCGCGAGTAAAAGTTTAATAATCTCAAAAAAAATCTAAACGACCGCCAAGTTACAATATCGATAAAGTGTTAATTTTCAAAAAGTCCATGTTCAGTGTCCAGTATGAAAATTGAATAATATTTTATGAAAATGTTGCTTCTTATTCTGATGGCTATTATGATTATAAGTGAGTATAATATGGTTATTTGCATTAATGTATTTTTCAATTTATTAATATATATTTATCAGAAACTGAAAGTGAAAGTTCGACTAAGTGATGTGCTATGGTAAAGCTCAATGTTTTGTTATAAGTCAGTCGCTTAATAGGGAATGTCTGATGTAGTATTCTTTTATTATATTACTTTAATTACAAACACATACAGCATTATTATTATTTTTTTAATTTTTAAGAACTTGTTGCTAGTTGAAAATAGTTTGTCGTAAAATATTTTGAAAGTTTTTTTTTTCTTTGAGTATTTAGAAGACGCTATTAAAGTAAACAAATTTAAATATTTCACTTTTAACTTATCAAATAACCCGATGATAACTTTAATCGACCTATATAACTTAGATTCATGTACACATATTTTTATGTAGGGCAGTGCATTATTCTTTCTTGTAGCATTTATAGCAAATAACATACAAGATTTTAACCGAAAAACTCCCTCGTAATATAATAATTTCATCGAGGTTAGGTTGGTAATTTTATTTTTAATTATTTAGTGTTTTATCAATTAGCTATTTACGTTATCCAAGGATCATCGTGTTGATGACGCTTATTTGAATTGTAATTTGAGTTTAACAATTTTCGGGAATGTATTCGATCACTTTACAGCTTGATTAACACGCGTTGAGAAGTCTCAGTTTCATTATTATATTCGTTTGTTTTATTAAATGCTCTTTCTTAAATGGAACATTTTCCATCTCATAACGGCAATGAACGACTGTAAGGTAACTGTCAAAACTGAGAACACTTTTTCCGACTAAACGCACAATTTTGAAATGAAATCTCAAGATGTTTAATATTTTTAGAAGAATAAAACATACATTTATTAAAATAATAATTGCATATAAATTGTGTTCCACAGATTCCGTAAATAACTTTACACTAGAATACGTTAAGTAGTTCCACGTTCAAGAGGAAAAGTCTTTCGATTATAAACTTAGTGTTGAAAAACGTTAAATTGAAATTACCTATGTTACAAAAAAGGCAACGATTTGATTTATTTTAGTTTTATCGTTCCAGTTCTTTCTACCTGCCCTTGCTGAAGGGGAAGGTTTTTGTAAAATGTACGTTACGTTTCTCTTATCGTTTTCTATATAGGTACTCTATACACTCTTTGCATAAATTAGAACTTTGATATCAAAAGCTAATGGTAATCTTAAAGTTTTTTAACATATTCTAAAATGTTTTCGTGGGCAGATAGGGAGCTATTTTAATAAAATTTAAAGGCAGGTCCGCCCGGAAAAGTACCGTGAACTCATAGAAGATTGGGGTGTAGTGAAAGTGCTATAATTCTGCAATTCGTGTGGTAAGTGAGGTGCATGGGATCCACTTTATTAAAAGGTACCAATGCATCTCCAAAAAATGTCTATGGGAGACGGCTATCACTTTATTTTAGGTGAAACGCCAGCTTACTTCCAATTTTCTTACAGAACAAAAATAAGATAAAGGAAAATGTTGTTTTTATACGTACCTTTTATTTAATCAGTAAATATAGTGTAAATTTAATTGACTATTTCCAAAACTGGCCAGAAACTTTTCAATCGAAAATTATTTTGCATTATTAGTTTTTTAAGAGATAGGTTAGACAAAGTAATATAAAATATGTATCTACTTGAAGATTTGCAAATTGAGTTGAGATTATCAGATTGAGATACAATACTGATATGTAATCCATGTTTAAAAAATATATATTTTAGGACATTTATACAGTCTAGTCCAGTCCCAAACTTTGTATTACGTGTACTAATGTAACTGATGATCATGTTTAAACCTACCTTTTTGTAAACATATACTTGTTATGACAGACAGAGACATAGAAAAACACGACGTTCATCACACAATATTCTTCCAGTAGTGGAGTTCGATCCCACCACCTCTGGCTCTAGAGATAGATTCACTATCCACTGTGCCAATCGGCTCGTTGATCCGTTGAATGCTGTTGATGAAATTCAGGCAATCCTCAAATTAGCGTAGCGGGTGAGCCTGTAAAGTTTGGTATCGATCGGATCGTTAGATTTGATTGCTTGATTAATTAGTCCTACCCGTGCGAAGCCGGGACGGATCGCTAGTGTTTAATAGGCTTCCGTAATAACGTATCAGGTGGTGGTGCACAGTTGGACGAAGCGGCCAGCTGTGACACCAGTGAGTTGAAATTATGCGTCGAAATGATTCCTCACACTCCCGTCGGCCTTCCAAGAAACAAGGCCGAACTCGACGCCCATTGTGGGTAAGTGAATAAGACAAGATTCTCTTGCGATGGGATTTTGGGTATGACTTCACTTTTCTAAATGAACGCTTGTGTAGGGCTTATCAGACGGGAATGTCGTGTATGGACGCCTGGATCAAACGCTGCTTGCCCACTGATGGACAGAAGTTTATCCAACAGCAAATAGGAGGCGCACGGGCTCTGATGCGTTTCCTTTGCTCGAATGGAACTGCCCTAAGGAGAGGTTTGAATCTACTTATTAACATCAATCGTTACATCATATCAAACGCAGACCGTAATACTTATGTTTTGTAAACTCAGTTATTCACGATAATTATACACACGTGCAATTGAATAATAAGCACACGGGGGCTTCGCACCAACAGTTAAATCCAATTTACGGTAATGAAATAAATATACTCATGGTAAAAATGTAGTATGTATCACACTTTCGGGATTAAATAGCCAACCACCTTAACCAATGCAATTTAACCTTTCATCAGTATTGATCATTACAAAAAAAAAAGTTTTGATTGGTTGTGAATTCTAAATCATCGAGAGTGTGTGAATTCTGTGGCGATGAATTCTAATTTGTCGAGGCCTGCCTCACGCTGCTCAGCAGGCACATAAATTAAGGAACTTTGAAGCGAATTATTACAAGCCACGAGAAATAGATTCTGTTCGATAATCGAAAGCGCTCAACAAGTTGGTTAGATCAGGATCTATCTCTGTCGAAACGAAACGAAAAAAAAAAACGGCCAAGTACGAGTCGGACTCGCGCACGAATTGTTCCGTACCATTATCTAGTATGTATGGGGACATCGTTTAATTTTCAACTTTTCTTTTTACTTCTTGGAGTTTTTCCTTCCTTTATTTGTGCGGTATTCGGAGCCCACTCTTCAGAGATCGGTAACTGTTACCGCACGGTTGCCGTGCATATCCCATATGCATGGGCGACGGTAATCACTTAAAAATGTGGGCTACGGTTACCTCACTCACCAGACGAAACGCGAATATTTAACCCTTCCACTTTACACCGGTCTTCTGTGAGGCCGTCGCAAAGCAGTAGCAACATTTTATTATAAATATTTAAATAAATAAATTAATAAATATTTTCGGACACATTTTTTACACAACGTTCTCTAGTTCCCAAACTAAGCTACGCTTGTACTATGGGTACTAGAAAACTGATAAATTTACTTAAACATACTTTTCTTTTGTAAATAAATACATATTGTACATATTTGAACACTCAGACACTGGAAAAACATGATGTTCATCACACAATATTTTTCCAGTAGTGGTGATCGAACCCAGACCCTCTGGCGCAGGAGGCAGGGTCCCCACGCCAATCGGGTCGTCGTTATTATTATTTATTTATTTTTTATTTCCTTCATGTACATCCTACCCATCAACAATTACTTTTGGTAAATTTCTGAGGTTGGCCGCCTTTTGATGACCAATATTTGATAGATATTTTGATTTTTGTTTTTTTGGTTTACAATAAAGTATATTATTATGGGGGATATTCATTTGTTTTCTCGTCTGGTTGGGTTTATAAATAAAAAATAAACATATAGATATAAATATTATATATTATTATCATTATAACAGCTAACACAGTAAATGCTCTCAGCTATCTCTTCGTTTGCACAGAGTTTTTGAAGGAGACAAAATGTTGGGCGATGGTATCGCCCGACTGGTCGCGTTGCGTGGACGAATTGCACATAGCAGTTCGGGACATCGTTGATCGTTCACAACAGCTTGCTTACTTCAGCAAGAACTCGGAACTATGTTGGTGAGACCGTTTTCCGTTCATCTGCGTAATAACGTGCTACACACTAACTTAAAAACGATTATAAAGAAGGGCCTCGAATTTGATGTGAGGAGAACCTCTATGATGGTTAGTTTCTTCAGTTTATTGAATAATTCAAAAGAACATTAATTAGATTAATAAAATATGCACGTAATTCATTAAATTGTATAACTGGTGTCTGTTATTTCGTTGGCCGACTCGGGCATGGATGGCATATTTAATAATTCAATTAATTTTCGCAATTCATCATGAAAATTCTTCGTAAAAGATAATCCGACTTCTGATATCATTAAAATTAAAATCAGTGAGATGCCGACTTGGTGATGAGAGTACATTTTATTCGAAATTAAATAAAATTATTTGTCTTCAGTCTCGAATAAGAAAACAAGAAATGTGTCGCATAGACACTTTATACTCAATATAATATTAATTTGTCCAAGATCGAAACATATACCCGGTAAAGATCAAGTTTACTTAAATATGGTGAATTATAAAAATATGTATCGTGTCATTTTAAGATATATCGTATTAAAAGCTTTTTAACAAAAAAAAAGAACCGACTTAAAAAACTTTATTAGCCCTAAAAAGTTATATAAGTTAAAGTTAGTATAATAATACAAATCAAATCTTTAAAATATAACCTTTGTAACGTTAACTCTAAAATAATTTAACAATTTTTGGATTGGAATATGTACCATATTTACTTCCTTATATGAATGTGAATATGTACTTTACTTCCTTTTAGTTCAATGTTTTATTTAATTTAATGATGGGTGAATTTTGATGGATTTGCAAAACATACAAAGTTTTCTTTATATTACATTCAAAATTATTTTTATCGATGACATTGAAATTTACTGAAGTACCTATATTACGTACTTCATTACTGTTAAATTTACTAATAATTGTTCATTTTTCAGTGCCCGCGAAGACTTCGTGTCTTGCGTTGCTCACGCGGGTCGCTCTTGCTCCGACAACGCTGCCACGTTGCTCAGGCGTATGGCATGGGTGCTGGCACAGGACGTGGCCACCTGCAGCCAGCAGCCACGCGTGCACTGCGCCGCCTCCGCGCCGTACGCAGCGCCCCTGCTCACTCTCACCGGTATCGTCCTTTATCGTTCTCGATTGTAGTCGCCACCGTTAGGAAATTCAGCGGTGAACAATATCATAATACGTTTTGTATGTCATATCTGTATCGAAAGACAGTTGTCACGCGCGTATTACTTGTGAAATGAAATTGGTTTCCGTTAAAATATCAATATAAAGAGAAGATGAAACTATGATGCCATTTGATGTGATAGCGTTTTGAAATAAAACTCGTTTGTGCATGATGTGTTTTATTTAAATCAAATTTCTTTTCAGCTGTAGAATATTGAGCATGCAACATGTTACACATTCTTGTTGGTCTTTTGAGCAGCCTGATTTATATGAAACAGTTTTTATTCAATAAAATATATTTATGTCGTAAAGTTATTACATTCATTTTTTCAAATTTTTAAACAGGTATTACGTAACTGTGGTAGGGCAGCCCAATAGTCTTCGCTGTTGCACGAATGGAAATTTCAGTCCGGGGAAGTACCGCGACCTCACAAGAGACCGGCGGGAAGTGGAAATGTTGCGTTTCGTCTGGTGAGTAGTCGGGGCTCACTTTGTTAAAAGGTGGCAACGTATCTGCAATACGCGTTTTGCAAATGTCCATCGGCGACGGTTATCACTTAACATCAGATGAATCACCAGCTCACTTACCACCTTCTCACATAATAAAAATATTTAAAAAAAATTATTAAAATAATTAAAAGTAATTTTACCGCGAGATTTAACAGGTAAAGCCAAAGAAATTAGCAATTTATATTAAAAAAATCTCTCACCCTCATAAAAACTAAACCCAAATGGTTGCTTACTTTTATGAAAGAAGATATATCGTAAGAGTAGAACTTTTAACAAGCAGATTGCATAACCAACTTGTTTAAGAAGCTACAACTAGTATATGGTAAAACACATTTGTTTCTATCCTGTCCATCCTCGTGTGCACTATATTTAGTCAAAAATAAATGAGTCGAAATTATTTTTAAAGCAATAATGAACAGCAATGACAGATATATTCATTTGAACAATATACAACATTAGAGATTGATGATTTGCCCTAATATTGTGTCGGAACGGGCACGTATAATGTTGGGGCGAACCTGTCACTGCCATACAGCCTTGAATAGGAGGAATTGTTCGAACATATTCGGAGTTAAATTTTATGCGCATGATTTTCTCGAACAACGAACCCATAGCGAAAAGCGTTGTTTTTATGTTTTAAGGCCCCGTTGTCTCTGAGGATCTGAATGTTATTGATTATCCTGGCCTGCCTGCGCTTTACAAGCGCTTGCGCTACGCAAGGCTGCTTTTTGAATTTTGTGTCATAGTGTAAAGGACATATCAGTAAAGGATATCGCAATAAATGAACCTCCCTTTTTAATTGAACATTCAGGACAATATCCCGACAACATCGCGCCCTAACGAATACAAAATATAATATAATGATGGATTACGGATACCTTTAAAATGTCACTCTCTGGGCCCCAAAAACTGATTACGATGTAATAGTAACGGCACATAAGACATGTAATAGTAACGCACCTAATAGGTTACCCGGTCGTATGACGTATGAATGAGTGAGCTTTATTTTAAATTCGGTCAGACCATTCTCTGGTACGGTTCGGTACATGTTTTCGTTAGCACCCTCTACTTAAAAAAAATTATACGTTAAAATACCTCGTACCGATGTACTAACTATATTACAATATTAGAAAAGGCTTCCGGAGTAAGTCTTTTAATTAACTGACGTCACCCCATACTGGCGTCCAAGTTCCACCCAGCGAATTCCAGTACGCACCATCACCGACCGTGAGATTCACAACGTCTTCGTGACTTTTAACCAGTTGGCAAATACTCACCTAGACTTTCCTCGGCCACGCAGAACACAGGGGAGTGTCAGACTACGTCGGCAGAAATAAGGCGGCAGAATAATATACATCCACGAACATATTGTCTTTGTTATTTCTAAAAATATAAAATTTTTGTATTTTTTGTGTTGACTGGTTGTTTCAAGTTCCTCCGTCACAACGATAGGAAATATTTATAGTAACATGATGAGGACTCGGCCAGAATTAATTAAATGCCTCATAAGAGTTGAAGACGAGTCGAAACTTCGACTTAAGTTTAGCTTTTTTCCTTTACAGGCACACAGGCAGCTAAAAATTTTATGACTTTTTGAAAATAAAACATTGAAAACTTTTTAAAGCTAGACTCAAGATGAAATTTCAAGATTTTTGTAGATATTTAATAGATCAAAAAGGAAAATGAGGACACAAGGTTCGAGTCTCGCAACGTGAAAAGTTTTGAAAGAATTCAAAAGTTTTATTTCAGTAAAGACATTTTAGTTCAGTCAATAAAGAAAGCCGTTAGGCTCATTGCCCGGGCGTTCGTTTTTAATTCAATGTATTCAGCAACCTCAGTATGATCCCCAGTGCCGGCACCAATGAAATTGTTAATTTTAAGCACTGACTTATCAGGTCGAAGAACATCGTAAGGAAACCAGCATATTTTTGTAATAATAACAAAAAAAATCCAAAATTTGTGAAGTCCGCCAATCCACAATAGCCAGCGGGGTCTGTAGTGGACTACGCCCTATCTAGTACCAGCCTCAGTGCAGAGGAGGCATCTGCCCAGCAGTGGGACGTGTACAGGTTGTTACTTTGTTTTTCCATTAAGGCCGGATTGGAACTAGTTATAATGATATATTATTATTATATTTATAGTTTGTTCCTAATATTTCAATACTATTTATGAATAATTGTTACCTAAATAAGAACAAACGTATAATTTAGCCGTCGTTCGTTTAATTTCTTCCGATAGATTACAACTGGGTAAAGTTACAATTCGTCCAAATCAAATAAGCATGTACAAAATATACGTCTATTTATAAGTGCAATGTAAACTCGTTTTTGTTCAAAAATTATTCACCATTAGTAAACATAACATACAGATAAACATTCTTGTCTTGTATTAACTGATGTTTTTGCTTTCAGTCCCGAGACTATTAAAGCTTCATCGGACGCAGAACCGGTGGGCTAGCCAGAACCCACGGGTTTGGGCCCTCCGCTGTGGGTAGGGCCGCGCATGTGCTCATGCGTGCGTTTAACTACGACATGTCATCTAAGGGCCATCGAAGTTGCGGTGCGGACCGAGACCCTGATGGCCGTCGACTGTGTTTTTAGCTAATCGGTGGCTGGGGGCGGTGAGAACCGCCCTGGAACGCGGGTGTACCTTGTGTACGCGTTGTGTTGGTCTCGCCGTGCACGGAGGCGAGGTCGAACTAGTGTGTTTGTTGTTGCACTAACTGTGGGTGTAGTGTTGTCCGGCGGGACCCCCGGCGGTGGGTCCAGCGTATCTAAGTCCCCTTCCTCGACCGGGTCGATGAGGACGTTTCGCGGGCGACGCTTGTTGACGTTCGCGTTTGTGTCGGGTTGGTAATTTGCTGCGCTTACCACCAGAGGGTTGGGATGATGTTCGGCTCTATCGAAGAACCGTTTGGTCAGGTCTTTAAAATATTCGCGAATCGTCGGGAGTCTGCAATCGCTGTGCAGATCGACGTTGCGTTGATACCACTGCGCACCGGTTGCACGGCGGATGAACTTATTTTGTACTATTTGCAGCTTGTACAAGCGAGTAGGGTGCGTGTGGGCGAAGATCATGCATGCGTAGGACATAATAGGTCGTACGCAGGTGTTATATAATAATAATTTGTGCCTTAAGGGCATTTTAATTTTAGCGTTAGTTAAATTGTGTAGCCGGCCGGAGACGAACGCGGCTCTATTACGAACGTTATTAATGTGCGTAGTAAATGACATACGCGAGTCGAAAGTGACTCCTAAGTATTTGACCTTTTTCTCCTAGGGGAGCGGTTGGCCATAAAGGGATATTTGCCCCAAATTTCTGCATTCGCGAGGATCATTATAAAGATGTGACGGGTAAGTACTTCGTGTGAAGTGAATCGCTACACTCTTTTCGGAATTTATTTCTATTCTCCATTTGCGGAACCAGTCGCCGAGGCGGTCGGCGGCGCTTTGGAGTCGAGTGGTTAGTAGTCTAAGGTTGCGGTCTGAATAAAAGAGCGCCGTGTCATCCGCGAAAAGCGCGAGATTGACGTGGGGGTCTTTAGGTATATCGCTCGTGTAGAGCGTAAAGAGCAAAGGTGAGAGGCAGGAGCCTTGTGGTACGCCGGCCGTGAGGCGGCGGCTTGTGGAGAGGGTGCCTTCAACTCGATATCGAAAAGAGCGGTTTGACAGGAAGGCCCGGATGGTGTGTACAAGCCTATCTGGCACTTTGAGTGTGTACAGCTTGTAAAGCAAGCTGTTGTGCCAGACCTTGTCGAATGCTTTTGCGACATCGAAGAAAAGAGCCCCTGTACTAATATGTCTAGGGTGATTTAGGCCTTTTAGGATATGTTCCGTTAGGCGGAATAGTTGATCGGGACAGGAATGTCTAGCTCGAAAGCCGAATTGTTCCGCCGGCAGAAGGCCGTTGGTAAACACGTGTTCATTGAGCCTGTTTAATAAAAGCCGCTCGTAGAGCTTCCCCAGGCAACTGAGGAGGCTGATGGGACGATAACTAGAGGGCTGGTTGGCTGGTTTATTCGGCTTGCGAATGCCGATAACCGTGGCTTCTTTCCAGTCGTCGGGAAAGGAGCAACTGGAGAGTAAAGCGTTGTAAATGGTCGCCAGTAAACAGATAAGCGGCCCAGGGAGAGCTTTAAGAATTTTGTTACTGATATTATCTGGGCCCGGGGCGGATTTCGGTTTTAGATTTTTAATAATATCTTGGACCTCTTCGGGGGTCACTGAATTTAAAGTTTCGCCTTCCGATGGAAGCGCAGCCCTAGTCTCGATTACGATGGCGTACATTGCTGCTCTAGGTTGTCCGCAAGGCATTCGGCTTTTTCGGAGTCATCTAGGGCTACTGAAGCGCTATTAGGTCTAACTAACGGCGGTAGAGATTCGCAGGGGTCTGCTTTCAGACTGCAGGCCAACCGCCAGTAGGCGGTGTGCGATGGCTCGATGTCCTCTAGGAGATTGTCC